CGTCCACGGTCCTACTCTGGAAATGATGATGCATACAATGGACTCCGGACTAGGTGTGTTCCTCTAAGTCCTTCTACCAATTTGACCAAGTTGCGAAAACAAGGTCAAACAACTTTTATTTAGGAAATTTGCATCCGTCCTGGCAGATGAGGTCCACTCATTTCATTGTGATAGAATTCACTTATCGGTTCTGAATCATATTATGCGACCCAAATGGACTAAAGTTGTTATTCAACAGCTTATCACTACATACAAAAACCCCACTACAAGTGTCAATTGACTGAAGTCTGACACTACATTTGCTCTACGACCCACTGCCAATCATAATTGTCAATCGAAAGTGTACGACCCGATTTCGAATCCCGTTGGGCTTGCAGAAGGGACAGGATAAGATAGTAATTAAATACAATATTCAATAGCATCTTATAGAAAATTGAACATTAAAACACTACATCAGCTTATGTTTTATTTGTCTTAAAAAGCTGTGACATACCGGTCTTGTGGAGGTGATCTCGATGGTTGCCATTGATTCTGTTGCTAAGATCAAAATAGAAGACACACCTAAAAGTTTCGGTCTTCGCTTACACTTTGTGAATCTTAGTGGGCTTTTTTGAATCCTAAAGACTGTCAAGGCTATATCAAGACCCTTGGACTTATTGTTTTGGGGCAAAAAAAATTCACAAACAACCTCACTTTTTTATCATTTCTTTCTACTGCTATCCACACATTCAATAGGCACACTGATGTCTTATGAATTTTCGGGAGTTTCAGCTTTATGTGAGTATACCGAAAATCCTTTCAAGTTCATAGCATCAGACGGTTTCGATCCTCTCAAAAGGAGTAGGGCGTTTGATTGGTCGCTTTCTTCACTTCCCAACAAGTTCCATTCAGCGGATTTTTGTTTGTTTGTACTCGTTTCAGTGGCCTTTTTGTGATCTCAATAGACCCGGTGTTACTTTTCGTATATACAATTTAGGAGTTGGCTTCAGGCGAAAATAGTGAAATTGTTTGGATTCACTGCAATAGTTCATAAATAAACATCAGCAATACAAACACAATGCCAATTTGGAAATGTCTTTCGGGGCTGATTTCGATCATGGCTCCCTGAACATCTCTCCCCACTTTGGATTAATCCTCGTTCTAAGAGCAAAAATGTGTTGTTTATTCTCAAAAGGTGTTGTCCTTACTCCAAAATAGTCAACGCTGCGTCAGCAGTCTCGGACAGGTTCTGTACTGCCCTCGATTCATTCAATAAAATGCAATAAATGCAAATACATGGTCAATTCAAATGACTTGCTTCGTTTAAAAAGCAGACTCCTTGACGATGCCCGACAGAGCATAATTAACTGTCAGCCTTGAGTCCTCTTTGAGTGACTCAATTTTTAATTTTGTAGCAAAAGTTGCTTCGATGGGATGCATGAATCTGCCTCGCCGGAAACTGAAGGAGGATGATTGCTTCGGAGCGAAGTGGTCTTCGGTCCACGGTTCTACGACTCCGATGAAGCTCAACAGCCTTCGTCTGCCTCACCGTGACAGACATCGCGACAACGAAAATGCTTACAATCTGTGTATACATCATAATGTTGCGATGTTAATACGATGTCACATGAGTTGGTTAGTCGTTTTATGCTTACCCCACATGACTGCAGATACGTAAAGTCGATATTATATGCTGTGTGTATGCATTGTGAAAATGGGACTCGGGGGTTTTCCTGCTCTCTCTCTCTCTCTCTATCTTACTCTCGCCTGAAAAATGCTGTCTTTGCAAACCGTGTGTTTTTCGTGTTCAGTAAAAGACATGTGTTGGATCAAGTAGGATTTTGGGATGACTACAAACGAGGATTATAAGCTTTTATTGCAATTTCCCCATCAAATGGGATAACTCACGACGAACCAGTGTACTAACTACCATCTCGTCTCGCAGAGGCTGGCATCCAAAAAGTCTGATTTTTCCTTCCTCACAATCATCATTGCCACTCTTCATTTGTCCCCTTCTCCTCCTCATCGTCTTGCGCCAATCCTTCATGGCGGTTTGCCTTGCACCATTTCTCCCCGTTCACTCGGTTCCCACTGCTCGGCGAACCACAGGGTGTGATCGAGTATTCGCTTTGTCTTTTCTTCGCCAAACTCGTCTCGTACACCTTCCTCTTCTGGCTGCCGTACTACATTCGAGATTCAGCCAACCGAGACCCTTCGGAGTCGGCCGACCTCTCCACCGTCTTCGACTGGGGCGGCATCGCTGGCGGCGTGCTCGCCGGTCTCGTCAGTGACCGGACACAAGCGAG